ATGTTGAAAAGTAGATGACAATTATGAATTAACCAATTTCTAAATACTATTCACATATTTATGCTGCCTTACATAAATATACACTTTAAGAATATAAAATATATCCTGCAAATATAAAACAAACAGTTCCAGTTTCTTATTTTTAAAATGTGATATTGCAGTGTCAGAAAGATCCTAGTAACAATCCCCACTCCTACCAACAGTATAGTCTTGGACAGATTTCTTAACCTTCCTAGGATTCTTTTTTTTTTGAGAGTCATAAAATCTATCTCAGAAGGTTCTCGTAAAGATTAAGTGAAAATATCTTCAAAACACACAGTGCTGAAACATAATGAATGCTCAAAAATAGCAGCTACTTATTATTATAGTTTTCTACATACTTACTGTCCCAGACCTAGCAAGCCTTTTATAAGAGTTTCTAGAGTTATGGCAGCAAAGTCTCTTTATTAGAATTCTAAGTATCCACATGGTTTTTAATATATTCCCTACATGCTCTGACGTCCAATGCCTCTGAATCCAGTACAACCACAGCCTCAAGTCTACCTCACTCAGGCGGTTAGTGCCCACAGCTGCTGTTTCTAAACCCCTAAATCTACAACATAACCTTTTGTAAAAGGCCAGGCTAGTAGCCTACTTAACTGGAAACAGAAACTAAAATACATCACTGTGTTCTTAAGAGTTTGAAAAACTAACAGAAGAAAGCCAAAAGAGACAGAGTTACTCAATTTACTTTATGTCCACTAATACAGCTTTCATTCAATAACTAGACAATGATAGACAGATGTATATAGAGAGAAATGAATGTAAATCGCCTAGATAAATTAGTGGAATTATTTTAATAGTAGAATAAATGAATAAGTTACTATAATCAGGTATATTGCAAGAATGCAAGGATGCTTAATTAAGTTAGAAATTTATGAAAGGCTGCACATATCAAAGAGTTGTTACGAATGTTCATCTCAATAAACACCAAAATGGCAGTCAGTTAAAGTATATGTCTATTTATTAGGCCTTAAAATCTTTTAAAAATTAGGAATAAATGGTTTTTTTACCAGGAAAAACAAATAGTAATTAGTATATGCATAATTTAACTGAAGAGTCACTTTCATAACAACTAGGAGCATGGTTCTACAAGTCCTGGCCAATGTAGTAAAACATTAAAGAGAAATTAGACACACACTAATGGAAATAGAAGATAAAATAATCATTATCAGTAAATATCTTGTCTCCTACTTGCTAGAGAAAAATTTCATCAAATGACTCTACAACTCGAAGTACAGACTTGCAGTTTCTACGTGGTTGCAATAGACAAGGTATCCATTCCTTCCTTCATCCTTCTCATGAGTAAAGGAATTATAGTAACCCACCATACCCAAATAGTCCTGAATCTCTCTCTCTCTCTCTCTCTCTCTCTATCGTTTCTTTCTCTTACCGTGAGTAGCACCTACTTTAAGGCTCTAATCCCATTATGTTCCCTTTCAGGGAACCGAGCCCACACGCCCCCACCCAATCAACTTTTTTCCCATTTCAGAAACACTGTCTCTCTTTACCCTCTCTCCTACTACCCTTCCTCACTCCCTTCACCACCAGTCCTCTGGCCTCCTTATTAAACTTCAAACACACAAGCAGCTCCCATCTCAGAATCTTCTAACTTCCCTCCAGCTACACAAACAGCAGGATGGCTTAAATGTTCACTTTCCTCATCATCTAACATTCTATGTATTTGTTTTACGTATTTATTTTGCTTTTTGCAGTTTCCCCACAACTAGGCAAGTTTTTCCTGAAGGAAGAATTTCTAGTCCACTTTGTATGAAAAGAGGTGGGACATGAAGAAGGATCCTTGGTGATTAATGGGAAGCAATGAAAGATCAGAGGCTTAGAAAGGACAAGATTGGGAGACTGTTGACAAAGTGTATAAGTTAGAAGCATGTAATGTACCTCCTCAAAGGAGTTCAACAGGCAAGAGAATTTTTCCCATGCCAGTCAATACTCACCAAAAAAATCCCCACTGCCGAGATCATTATTATTATGGTCAATAAATACCTTTTCTCAGCCATCTCAGTATATGCATGATAGGTATTTGTTGAATAAATTAAGAAATGTACACAAATGACTATAGAACTAAAATACCCAAAAGAATCAATTAAAAATATTTTAATCAGTCAAATGTAGAGTAAGATGGTTACTTTAAATATTGTAAGAAAAATAGCAGCTTTTACTAAGCTCTCCAATGAGTTAGAAAATATAATGAAAAAAGAAATCCCTATTCAAACCACAAGAACTAAAATAAATATGAATACCCTAACTAGAAGTTCATGTACACTATATAAACACCATCAAGAATTTTACTAAGAAATACAGAGAAGATTTGAGCAAATTAAAGGATGTAGCATGGTCCCTGGATTAGAAAAATAATGGATATTTAAAAGATATCAATTATTCTCCAATGAATCTATAGGTTTAAAATAATTCTAGTCGCAATAGTTTTGTCTTTACAAAATTATTCTAAACTTTGCCACACAAATAGAAAAGAACCCCAAAATAAAAATAAGTAATGGGAGAAGACTATAGACCTGGCAGATAGATATTAAAGCAAATTATAAACTCACAAAGGTAAAACACTGTAATTTTGGCACAATTAAACAGAAAAGATATTCATAAATAGATAGTGGTGGAATGTAGTAGAAGATAAAGGAGACTGGGAAAAATGTACTGTAGCATACGTGAAAATAAGCCTCAGGTAAATAAAGAACTAACTAAATGTTAAAAAATATAATATGAAAAGGAAGAAAATTGTGCTAAATATTTACTTTTTGTCAAATGTAAATATATAAATTTTACAATCATAATAAGTAAAACTTCTATATATTAAAAATGATATAACTGGAATTAAGTCACCAGAAGGGCAGGGACTTTGTCCTAGTCACTGCTCTATCTCCAGAGTTTAGAACAGTGGCTGGTCCACTGCAGATTTGTAAATAATTTAGTTTTCCCAAATGATAGCATTTGAGTTCACTCCTTTGAGGCAAACTTAGTCCAGGTTTTTTTTACATGAAAAAAATGGTGCATCTGCATTTTCTACCACCAAAAAAGTCATCTGGGATTCTGACAGGGATTGCACTTAATCTGTAGATGTTTGGAAGTACTGCCATCTTAACATTCGTTAAATCTTCTGATCAGTGACCGTGGGAAGTTTTTCCAATTATTAAGATAGTCCTTAATTTCTTTCAACAATGCTTTGTACTTATCAGAGTGTAATTTTTCCACTTGTTTTGTTAAATTTATCCCCAAGTAGAATATTCTTTTCGATGCCAATTGTAAGTGGAATTGTTTTAATTTCATTTTTTGATTGTGCACTGCAAGTGCATAGAAATACAATTGATTTTTGTATATTGATTTTGTATATTGCTACCTTGTTGAACCATTTATAAGTTTTAGTAGTTTAAAGTAGATTCCTTAAGAATTTCTACATACTTAATTATATCACCAGAAAATAGAGATAATTTTACTCCTTTCTTTCTAATATAGATGCCATTTATTTCTTTCTTTTGCTCAATTGCCTTGCCTAGAACTGCCAGTACTATGTTGAACAGAAGTGTAAAGAGTGTACATCCTTGTTGTTTTCCTGATCTTAGATGGAGAATATTAACTCTTACACCATTAAGTATGATGTAAGCTGTAGGTTTTCCATGCATGCGCTTTAGCAGGTTAAGGAAGTTCCCTTCTATTACTAGCTTGTTGAGTGTTTTCATCATGATGGGGTGTTGGATATTTTCAAATGTTTTTTCTAAGTCTGTTAAGATGATCTTGTGATTTTTTTCCTTTTTAATTCTATTGATATGATTGATGCATTACTTAACTGGTTATCAGATGTTAAACCAATCTTGCATCCCAGGGATAAAACAAGCTAATTCTAAAATGCATACAGAATTTCAAAGGACTCAGGATAGCCAAACAATCATGAAAAAGGAAAAAGAACAAAGTAGGACTCACACTTTCCAATTTCAAAACTTACTACAAAGGAAGGGTAATTAAGGCAGTGTGATATTGGTACAAATATAGACATATAGATCAACTGAATAGAATTCAGAGTACAAAAATAAACCTGTATATTGATGGCAAACTGATTTTCAATAAAGGTGTCAAAACCATACAAATATTGCTGGGACAACTGGATTATCCACACAAAAAATATGAAGTTAGACCATTAACTCACACTGTATACAAGTATTAACTCAAAGTGGCTCAAAGACATAAATGTAAGAGCAAAATTGTAAAATTCTTAGAAGAAAATAGGGGTAAAACTTCATACCCTTAGTTTTTGCCATTTATGAGGCATAATATTATGAGTGCTTTCAAAGAAATTGGTAGGAAAAGTAGTAAAATCCTCAAAAAGAAGAGGGGGAAGATAAAAACAGCCAATTCAAAAATACATATAAACACCAAATAAACACAAAAAATTTCAACATCACTAGTTGCTAAGAAATAAAAATAAAAACAAAGTTTATTTAACTATCAATGTATCATGGTGATAAGGAAACGGACAAGCACAGCACATTAGATATAGATATGGATATAAATATAAATATAGATATGAGTACACATACACTACACATATGCATACAGATATTACATGGATGTTGAATTGTTACTTTAAAAAATTCCTGAACAGACACACACAAAAACACACATGCACAAATTATAACAAAGGGTATTAGTGGTTACACTGTACTATAAAATTATATAGATGGATTACAATGAGAATCTAGGCATGAAAATTAGTTTTTAAAAATGTATATACAAATGGCACTTTCCCTTTAGCGTGATCAAAGGAGTCAAAAGGCCAATGAAGAAGGGAGCATTTGTGGAGAAAGGCAGGCAGCAACCTCAGCAGAGTGACCACAAAAATGTTTCTGTTGTTACAGCCCAACACCCAGGAATGCAGGCAACAGGTACCATGGGGTGTGCTCACCCATGACGGTAACACCCTGATCCATTACCTGCTTTGGAAGTAACAAGCTGCAGCACAAGAGGCCTTCTCGTTACAATGCCGGACCCTCGAGGGAGAAAGTCCCTAAAAAAAAAAAAAGAAGGAAATAACAGATTAAGGTACTTTGAATAATTCTGATCACCTATAAATGTCTAACTCAAGTTCACAGTTACTTTAATTTCCAACTTTTTGATGCATCACATGTCTACAGAACACTAGGTCCAACCTACAAAAGAAGCATTTGCAAAGTAATAAAAAAAAGAAGTAGAGGAGAAAGGCCTCTGCCATTGAATAGTAATCCATGTGCATTATTATAATAACCTCACTAGAATATGACACTCATCCATTTAGCTGGAATTAATAAAATTTTGCATTAAATTATTGTGTACTGTCAATTCACTTTTATTTTCAGAGCATCAGCATTTATAAAAGCATTTGATGCAGAAATGAATCCTTATACTTTTTGGTAATTAAAACATTCAATACTCTGTCCAGCTTCAAGATCAATAATAGCATCATCAAATACTAACCATTATTAAAGGTAATAAAGTCTTATTAGATGTATCTTCTAAACATCCTAAAAATTTTCTCTAATAAAAGGTCGCACATAGAATGTGGGATGAGGTAGAGATAAATATTGTATATGTAGAAATTAATAGCAGAAAATAATATTGCAGTGTGAGTGTTGGTTGTTCTCATTCATGATAGATCTTAGTTTATTCTTTTCTTATTGAAGTATAGTTGATATACAATCTTATATTGGTTTCAAGTACACAGCACAGTGGTTCAACAGTTATCCATATTATTAAATCCTCACCCTAACTCACCCTAGTGCAGTTACTATCTGTCAACATAGGAAAATGTTATATAATCACTGGTTATATTGGGAGTTTTTTTTTAAGGGAGCTTTTCAATAAATAAAGACTCAGTTTAAAATGGCATGTTAATACACACTAGATCAATAAAACTGTAGAAAAAAAGTATTTTGTAACTACATCTGCAATGCCACAAACATCAGTATTGATTCTGCACTACCCAATACTTTGTAAACATACCTATAACACAACTTTTAAACACTTTTGGAATGCCTCACAACTTTTAGGAGACCCACCTATAGGTGTGCAGCACCTGTACTCTTACTAAGCTCCAGGGGATTCTGATGCTCACCATGGCTGGAGTGATTACAGCTTCATGTTGGGATATATTACTCAACAATTTAGTGGGTGACAATGGCATAGGGCTTACTATGAGTTTTCTAGGACATTTTGCAGGACAGTTTCAACACATTTGGGATCTCAAAGAAGAGCAACTTAAACAACTGGTAAAAGCCAGTGAGAATGCTGCAGAACCCAAGCCTTTGGATACTTGGAGAGTTACAGAGACAAGAGTAAGGAGAATTTCTCCTGCTATGACTAATTTATTTTGCAAGTGCTAGTGTAAATAAGGAAATCATAGTAAACCGCCCCTTAACCAAGTTAATGGCTTTACTCCTTAAGTCTGAGGCTGTTTCATCTGGCATGTCATTTGTATGTGACTGAAATAGAGAATAGTTATATTACAGGCTTGCTTTTCCTCTAAAAAAATGCTACCTGAAATAAATATTATTTATTCATCCAAAAATTTTCACTGAGGAATTAAGAAGTGCTAGGTAGATGCTGTGGGCCCAGCCTGCACTAGGTAGACACCAGGGGTTTAAAATCTCATGTGATGATGAAGACATCTATCTACAAAACTGTTACAGGAGGGAGAAGATAAACTACATTAGGTTCAGAAAAGAGAGATTGATACTCTCCTTTTAAAAATATCTGAATGTATATAATTAATACACTTTTAATATTCCCCAGGAACTATATTAGAATATTTGCTAGTTTTGATGATTTCAATAATCACTTAAACTGTAATAAAAACAAGGAGAGCATCTACTCTGTGCCTAGAACCAAAAAGGAAGAAGTTGATTTGAGTATAAAAATAGAGAAGAAAACAAAACAAGAAAACTCCAGGGCAAAGAGCTGGAAGGAATCTACTGGAGCTGTTAGGACCATGAATGAGGTTTTAGGATGTATACATGCCGAAGAGAAATATTCAGGTTTAAAAGCCTGAATAAAGCCATTTAATAAAAATACATACATTTATTCTTAAAAAAAATAATATAGAAGAAGGAAGGAAAGAGGGATGGAAGGAAAAGAAGAAGAAAGGAGGTCTAGTTACATACATAATACCTTCATGCCAAGGACCTATTTCATCTCATGCCTATGACCATATATTTATAATGAAGATTTAGTAACAATCCCTTTGAACATTATTAGAGCAAAACAGAATGTATTAAACATTTTAAATAGCAAATAATTATCATGTTTGGCTGCAAAGTAAGTCCATAGATACATCTAATGTTTCTCTCTTTTGTATCAAGCAAAGAGAACTTTGTATTAAGAGTTCAACAATTGAGTGGGTGATATGGCATAGGGAATGTTATGAGTTTTGCAGGAAATTTAGTACACAACCCCCTTTTTTGCTAACTCATGCCTACTGGCCCCCTTCATGGCTCTCACAGTCCTACCTCCACAGCACACATTCTCACCAAAAGTCAAAGATTTGGTAACCAAATCCTGCTATTTCAAGTCTCTCTTAACTTCACAAAGTATCTGAGTTCAACAAAGCACTAAGAGAGACATTTCTCTCTTGTGAAGAGTGAGTGGCTTATATGGTATCCTGAAGATTCATGTCATGCTGATGATCCAGCAGCATGGAAAACACATGCCCAGCACACTCATGCTATGAGAGCTCAGGGGATGAGCCCTCAGATGAAACAGAGAACCTTGCTTTGAGTCCCAACTCTGCCACTGAGTGGGCAAAATTCCCTCGAAATCTGTTTCTTTTGCCACTAAAGTGAGATAATCCCATGGATCAAATGAAATGCAAAATAGGGCAACTTTTAAAAATTGAAATATAGTTGATACAGTACATTGGTTTCAGGTATACAACATAGTGATCTGACAATTATATATATTACTAAATATTCACCATGATTAGTTACCATCTGTCAACATACAAAGATATTACATTATTTACTATATTCCCTATGCTGTACTTTCATCCCTGTAACTAGTTTATTTTATAATTAATTAAAGTTTACACCTCTTTATCCCCCTCACCTATTTCACCTTACCTGCCCCCCAGCAACCTCCAATCTGTCCTCTACGAGTTTGTTTTGTTCATTTGTTCACTTGTTTTATTTTTCATATTCCACACAAAAGTGAAATAGTGCAATATGTGTCTTTGTCTGACTACCCTTTAGATTCATCCATGTTGTCACAAATGGCAAGATTTCCTTCTTTTTTAAAGCTGAGTAATATTCCATTGCATATATGTACCACTTCTTTTTTATTTATTCATCTATCGATGGAGATTAGGTTGATACCATATACTGGCTACTGCAAATAATGCTAAAATAAACAGAGGAGTGCATATATCTTTTTGAATTCATTTTTCAGTTTGCTTTCTTCAGTTAAACTCACAGAAGTGGAATTACTAGGTAGTATTTTTATAAATTTCTGTTTTTAATTTTCTGAGAACCCTCCTTACTGCTTTCCATAGTGGCTGCATCAATTCACATTCCCACCAACAGTGTATGAGAGTTCCCTTTTCTTCACATCCTCAAACATACAGCAACGTTTTAAAACAACCACCACCATAGAAAACGTAGTATATTATTATTGCTGCAATATAGCCACAGTATGTTTTCTCTGATATTGTAGCATTCTCTCATTTTAAAAAAGTGTCTACACACAATATTTTAATATTTTATGAATGGAATTTGAAGATGAAGAGGTACAGACCCCACCTGAACTGTCCCCTTGGTGTTGACCAGTTGCTCTAGTTTAGACAGCTCAGTTCCTTATTCCCACCTCCATCAACTGGGAACCAAGACACTGGTACAAACAATCATGAATAATTCATTAGCCACTGAGTGCAACCAATGGTTTGAATTTTATTTTTTTTCTGGCAATAGATGGTTGGGTTCTCCTATAAGAACATCTTATGGGAAAATTACTTTGCTAAATTAATGCAGAAAAAAATAATGACTGTGCCTTTATCACTACTGTAGATTTAAATTATACCTTTGTCATTTATGATTGATAGGATATTCAAGGTAAAAAGTGACAAGAGTCATCTGAAGACTAAGCATTACTGAACTGGCCCCATTCTATTGTCTGACTGCCTTTTTCATGGTTGGACTAAACAGATTTTTAAGACAGAAGGAGTGTTCCCCTCTCTGTGCCATATGGCAGCTGCAATTCAAATGCCTTTCTTCTCTCTCAGCCTACTTTAATAAAGCATTAATCTGTGTACTCTTAACAGCTGGTCTTCAGGCAGTAAGTCAATGCTCTTTTATGGTTTCCTGACTCCTGCACAAAAAGTAGAGCCTAATTCCCATGCTATAGTCTAAGAGCCATCTTGATAATATTTCTTATTGGCTCTCCCAGAAACTTGGTTTCCAAGAGATACTGTTGCTCCACTAGGAAATGATTTGCCTTTGGACACCTAAAAAAGGAGTGCACACTTGCTGCATCAACAAAGCTAAAAGGAATTTTCCCTCTTAACAGCAAATAAAGTAACTACAGAGATGTTTTTCTTCAACTCAGATGGAAACAAGCATTAACCAGATGATCTGTTCATAGATGTTTAACATCTGCCCTTGACTGGGGATAAGAAACATAATTCATACTCTCCAAGAACTTAATTCATGTAGGATTCATCCAAAGATAAAGAAGTTTAATCTTAGAGGAGAATGGAATGCAAATGATTACAATAAGCATGACAGGCACTATGGTTAAGCTCCATGCAAGGTGAAGTACTGACACAGAGCAGAGGATAATCTCTTCTGCTTGTGGGACTAGCCAGAAACCATTCCAGAGAGACATGAGGCAGGAGGCATTGCACAGGAGGATAATCTCTTCTGCTTGTGGGACTAGCCAGAAACCATTCCAGAGAGACATGAGGCAGGAGGCATTGCACAGAGGATCAGGATGTGCAAAGACATGGAAGACCAAAGTAACACAGAACATTAAGGAACTGTAAATACT